TTATACGTATCGACTGGTACTTTCGGATTTTCGCGCACCTTGGCAAGTCATGTATTCTCGAAGCTTTGTAAGATAATCCCGGGGAATCGAAACAAACGATCTCATTTGCGCGTGGCTGTCCTCGATCGAATCCAATTAAACCTCGCGTTCGGACCGATCCTTTAATCCTCGTAGAACCTTCTGAAACTCTCCTTCATCGCAGCGTCGCCCTTCGATTCACCATACTTTCAATCGTCGATCCAGCGGTCGAGCGCGCGAAACTCCAACGATTCGGTTATCGGAAGAGGTCGACGAATTGATCGCGAACGAATCGTCTCATTCAGCGATCGCGAACATTCCGTGAAAGGCGTTTCATAGTCACGGAATATCCGGTTCGAGGGTTGGTGGTCGACCTCTTGGATGATCGTAACGTTCGTTAAGAAGCTGGTTTGCGATTGCACGCGCCATTGCTCTCTGATATATCACTCTCTCCCTGATTGCGTCCTTAGGCCGCGTCCTGGCATACAGTACTACGTTCTTTTATGCGATTCTAACAGGCACCGTATACGGATCCTCGAGACTAGAGAGCGTTCCTGCTGCCCCAGGAACCAACGACAGCTACAGTGGCGGTGGACCCCAAAGGGGTTACACGGGATCCTCATCCAGCTCCAACAATTACCATCCTTACCGTCGCTAGAATGGATTAAGACTCGAGTCCCCCGGCGTTTAGAGCGAGATTATTTCGCTTCTTCCCCTCTTCGCGAGCGCGCTCGTGCCGTTTGCATACGTACGCGCTGAAACACGTGTTGCATTCGATCCCACGTTCGCGTGGTACGCGCGAATCATGACCTTGGAATCGATATTTTTCTGTCGATACGTCCCATCGAGTCGTCGCGAATGGTTCGAGCTCAGAGCGCGCGAACGATCGAAACCGACAGACGCATAGAAATCTAACGTGGACATTTGACATTCGGGAGAGCTTTCGCGCCAAGAGGATTTTCGGAGACCCAGAGCCCTGTACGTGGACGAGGAACCAAGTCGTCGAGCACCGGACCAATTTTTCTGCGCGAGCAGCGTTCGCCAGTCTTCGAACTCGTCTTCAGGAAGATCGTCTTCGATAATGTAGCGTCACTCACGCGTTTTTTCATATTTTATTATTCGTCGTTAACGTGTCGCTGACGAGGCGAACTCTATCCATAGAATCGACCACGATTCAGTAGACGGGGCTGTGTTGACACCTGACCTGTTGAGTTTAGTTCTTTTTCCGCGCGGGTGATAAAGTTATCGTCGATCGTGAGTTTTCGTTCTTACGCGAAACGAAGATTCAGAAAAGAAGGGGGACGTCTCGACGACGACGCTCGAGAATCATTCTTAAACATTACGGAGGACAAACAATTGAGAAAGAGTTTAGCGTGAAGTCGGTGAAACACCGTTCGTCCAAAACACGGAAAGCGTGGGTATTGTAAGTTTAGATGTAAGGATTTTACGATAACATAACGATCCATTGAGTCTTGGACCAGTGATACGCAGACCGTTTGAGTGCTCCGTTGCGAAAAACAACGTGGTTATGATTCTTTTAAACCCTGTTCTTTTATTTTCATTTCTCCCCCCACCCCTTCTTCGATCGAATACAACGGTCCTTAGACTATTCGATCTAACGTCTTCGATCAATGATAACAACGGAGGGCACGTCGTATATCGCACGCGAGGTCTCCGTTTTTCACGCTCGCGACGCTCAATTTTTACCCCACTTTGAGTTTTCCTTTAATTTAGTTAGTCGCGACCGGCGACAAAAGCAGTTCAGTACAATGAAAAAACCTAATCCTTTGTTTTTTTCAATTTCTGCCGTAGGAAGTTTAATTCCTAGACGTCCTGTTCATTTTTCTGACTGGATGACGCGAGGCTTGTGGACTTGAGGTAAAAAAAAAAGGATAAAAAAAAAACGCGTTTAGAACCGCGGTCGCCGCTTAACGGGCCGCGATAATTAAGGAATTTCTCAGTTATTTAATAATCAGCCGGTCCTTTGTCCTTAATTCAATCTTTTTGTCTCTTTCCTGTTCTTTGTTTTCCTTCTAATTTTTTTTTTATTTTCTTGCGTTGTACCTCCGTATTTAATGTCATGTACCTGTTATTGTATATCGCTATTTCGAGTTTCGCACGAAATCTTCTTCTTTCGCTTCGAGAGTTCTCTACGGGTGTTATGTTTATCGAACACGCGTGAAGTTATTCAATTGTTCGTGTTGCATGGGCACCGACACAAAACTCACCACCGGTGGCTTTCGAATTATCGTCCGTCGTGACACGTTTTCTCGCGTTTTCTCGCCACCAGAAGTCGTTCGACGAGGATTCTCATGTGTAATTAGAACGAACTTTTGAGACGATGTCGCGCAACGCGAGCGCAAACAACGACGAACGTTTTGTATTCGTACTCACGCTGGCGGATCATTGTACGCGTACGAGATTGTATTCGAACCGCAAATTACGCCACGTTCTGTACGTTCATCCGGGAAACCACTATGATAAAAAAAGATAGAAAAAGTCCGCGACGTAGAAAAAGCCACGATTCCGCGACAACGCGCGGCGTCGGAACACGCTCGAGCAAAAGTGTGTTTCGAACCGAAACGAATCGAAAATTCGAAAGGAACGAGTTCGAACGTATTTCGAGTGACTTGTAACCGTCTTCAATGGTTAAATCGAAAGTATGTAGATCGTACAAGATAGGGTACAAGTGTAGGTGCGCGGATAATCTGAAACGCTACGTAATAACTCAGAACCGTTCTGATCTTCCAGAGTTCTCGATCTCAGATCGGTTCGAACCGAGTATAGCTCTCCTCGTTTTCTCCAGTTTCGATCAGATATCAAGAGTTTAGTCGGCAGATTTGGTCACCGAAATCGTTCACGGCGATCGACGATTAAAATACTCGCATTAGTTGCTTGAGATCATCGTCGATGCTACCAATGGTTATCCCTTAGTAACGTCGAGTCGAAATCAACGCGTTGATTTATTTCGAACTTCGAAGAAGTAGCGAAGTTAGAACAACTTGGTTGATGATTCTTATTCTCTCGAATTTCGAACGAAATCTATAGCGTTCTCAAGTTTGTCGACTCGACGTCACCGACGAATAACAAATTCGTTCGATCGACTGTGGTAGTAAACGACTGTTTATTTTGATCGTCAGTCGTACCGAATATTTTACAATTATTTTAATTGAAATTTGCCGCTGAATTGGATTGTAGTGTTCCCCGTGCGCGAAGCGCGCAGAGTGGAGCCGTTTCGAGCGAGTTCCGCGCAGCCCGTCGCGAGCGCGGGAACTTGGCTTGCACGTGCGATTATCTTCCCTGGATTTGTGTGTCAGTGTTTCTCAGTAAACGAACGATGCAACTGCGCTCCCGGTTGTCGGCGCACGTACTTGTTCGCGATGAAACATGGAGACACGGCTACTTTTTCAGACGTTCGAGTGCAACGGAAAAAATAAAATATATCGCGATGTTCGAATCGGTTTACGAAGTCGTAAATCGACCGATGCGCGCAACAGTGATGATCGTTGTAACGACGAACGACGACGACGGTAGCTGATTAATTGTCGATAGCGTTTAATTGTATTGTTAAGGATTAGGAGTTCGGCGCGATAAATCGTTCCCTGTTTACCGTACGGTTTGTACAATTCACGATTACGATGATGGATCTGCCGTTGACGGCACTCCGGGCCCCGTTTCTATCATCGACGCTGACATACCGTTATTATTGATTAGTACGATACGATTAATGATAATACCGTTCATAATATTTTGTTATATATAAATATACATACATATTTGCGAGGGTGGAAGCAGCAAGAAGTGCATTCTTTTATAGCATAGAAGCAAATTAATATTCCGTATCGATTAATAAACATTCACATTTTAATAGAAAACGCCGTTTAGGGTTCTTCTCCTGGTCTTTGCGTCTCAGTTCCTCAACCCCCTTGTTCATCCCTTGATGTCACCGCGTTTCGTACGGGTTCCCGTTACTCGTGGATCAAAGTGGTAAGATTGTTCAACTTTGTCCGTAGCTTTTTGATAACCCTATCCAAAGTGTTGTCCAGAAACAGTAGAGGCGAGTGTACATGGAATAAATGGATTACATCACGGACGAAACTTGTCTTTTTTCTATCGCGAAACTTTACGGAAATTTTACAGGATTCGAGGGGCAACGGAGGATCGTGTAAAAGTTAATTAGGGGAACGTTCAAAAATTTCTAGACGTTTTAATTACACGTTTATTGAATCGTACACTTTATTTGGATATGTAGATTGTCTTTTTCGAATTGTACGTTTACTTTTTAAGCTTTGAGACATATTCTTTTCTTTTAATACCTACTAAAACTACTTCTTTCTTTTATCACATCGAAAGCCCTGCAGAACTCCGCATCGACCACGCATAGTTCAAGGTACGTATGTTATATATTTTATTTCGATTTCGCGTAACTATTGCGGAACAGAATCTCGAGATCTTCGAAGAGCACGATTTTTGGCAAAAAAAAAGAAACAGGACGGTTTGTTTTGTCGCGAACGTTTGCTGAATCGAGCGACACCAGGATGAAACGAAAGCTATACTGGAAAGAAATACTTCAAAGCGGGTCAAGTCGAGACAGCACTTTTCCAAAATATGTACAAACAGTTTTTTTTTCTTTCTAATTCACGCTAAAACGCTGACTGTAAAATGTGCACGTTCGCGTGATTTTTCGTTCGTCCTTCGAACTCGAAAATCTTTAAATCGAATTTCGCGAGACATCGAAAGCTTTCGTTGACTTGTGTAACACGTTTCGTTGATTCTCTCCGGTATCTATACGCAATAATTTCACTATGAAACCGCGACTTCGTATTGAGACATCGTACTGTAAAAAACGTAAGATCGACAACTATACAGATACCAATGTGTCACGACGCGAATGTCGCCAGAACTCGAATCTTTCCACTGTAACGATCTTTCAAGTTTCTCTTGCGGATTCTCACTTGTTTTTAAGTGTTGAATCAACGCGTTTAAGCGATGGAGCATTTGTGACAACGCTGTTTGTTCGACTTCGTTTTGCCTTCCTTTTCTTGATCCAAATGCTTGCGAACAGATTCTGTAACCATTTTTCTAAAGACACTTCCTGTCTTGATATTTCAGGGGTATTCTACTTTAGACGGTGTCTTTCCAGGATAATTTTTACGATTTATTGAGTATCACAACAATCATTGTGGTTTTACGAATTTTTATTAACCGTTTGAGTCCCAAGCAGCGCGATCGTGCTGTCACATTTCGATCGTTGTGGACAACTGACTGTCGAAGTCGCGCGCTCAGATTTACTCACGCAAGTACATCACACAACTCCTTCTTTTAAAGTAAATAAACCATTTCACAATAGGTACAATACTATAATAATATTGCAATAATACATTACAAAACAAAATATTTTGTATTTCATTGTTATCTTCTGAATAATTTTTATTGAACAAAACTTGAAATATTTATAAACTCACAGTACGCATATGTAATAATACAGATGTGCAAAACATAAAATAAACGAAGCGCTATTGCGCTGCTTGGGTCTTCTCGTACTTATTTAGAGTACGACAGTGTTTTTTCAGTATCCTCTGGGACTCAAACGGTTAAACAAATTAGGAAGAAAAGAAAATTTGATATTTCATTTCTTGACTCGACGAAAACTGTTGTGGAAACATAATTGCAAGTTTAAAGTAGAATATCCCCATCGTATTGAATGCAACCAATATTACAGTAGTCTCTCGTTATAATTCGCGCCTCTATCCGATTCCTAGTAGCATAAACACCAAAAATAGTATTTTTATATTTTTTAATACGTAGTTATTAACCGTTGAGACTTCTCCAATAAATCTTACTTTGGCTTACGATGATTTGGTAATTTCCAGAATGATATCTTCGTTACAATTCGCGGTTCCTATCAGACGGACTATAGCGAGGAACTAGCGTGCTTGGCCAAAAATTACTTACCCGCAGCGGCCTTTTTATCCACCGCAGACAAAGCGTCGCACAGTTCCTTCGCTAAAGGAATGTCAGGACTCAGTCCCGACGCCCAGATCATCAGCATCCGGAAGCCGTGCTCCTTGTAGCTCGAAGGACCTACAATAGGAGCTTTATCGTCCTTTTCATAAAGCCGCCCTCGGTTTACGGAGGGAACATCGAGGCACAAAATGTTTCAAAAGGTATTTTTCACCATTGAGTCGACCTATTGTCAGATCTATTCTTTCGTTAAAGATTACAGGCCAAATTCTTTTGCGCTATTGCAACAAACATCGAAATATTTCTTTGTACGTATTATACGTACCTTTGTCTCACTAATGCTATTTTAATCGTTAGTTTACCAGTGTATTGATGTTCGATCGCTCGAATTTGCTCGTGCGTAAAAGCCCAATGGAGCGCCAGTTTTTTCCAATCCTCGGGCCCCAGGTGTTTGTACGCCAGCTTCCACAGAACCGATCGAACGTGTTCCGGAAGTCCGCAATTATTGCTGGAGATACTTTCGCCCCTCGATCCCTCCCGCCATCTTCTTCTAGCCGGCGTCAGATCTCGGATTTCCTTCTCGGATGTCGAAGCTTCCTGAAAAGTAAATAAACTCCTCTTACACGCGCGGATCCGAATAAATCTTTATCCGGATCAACGTTCGAACAAGGATTTCCGTATTTCAGATTGTTTTATTTCGTTTGGAGGAACACCACAAGAATCTTCAGACTTCGTGACTCTAACGTAAAGAATAAATATTTTCTTTTACTCTTGAGGAACAGGGATCGTTGCAAAGGGTGTCTCTAGCTTGCTAACTTTTAACTTTTAATCGCTTACCGGGGCTGGGTAATCCAGTCTGGCAGTTTTAATAATCATATCGACGATGGCCGTGAAACTGCCCCTCGCCGCGATGTACAATGGCGTTCTGCCGCTCTGCAAACATCCAAACAACTCTGCTTTTAACTTTGTTAGCGAGTTGCGACGTCAGTCGTGTCGACGGTTACGTTGAATCGACAAATTTCGACGTCGGCCGATCTCGTTCGAATCGCGTACGCCTCCTTGTGCAAACATTGCTCGAAGCTTTGTCGACAGTGTCGGCTCGTCGCGCCTGTGTTAAACCGTGGTTAACATATTCGGTACAAAGAGACGCCTACTACGATCGCGTTCGATCGAGTTTAGACACTGTTCCGCGACACCTTTGTTTGGTCTCTCTATTGGTGAAAAAATGCGTTGGTTGCGCTCAGAGTCGATCGTTAATCCAGTAAAGAAGTTATCCAAAGAAAGAATCGAACAAAGTTACTTCGATTCTATTCGTTGTTCGAAGCTTCAGAAATATAACTGTTTACTGAAAAATCGCGATGACTTTATTAATTGATATTTAGTAACATTTAAATTAATCTCACTGCCTCGTGGAGCTTCGAAACTGAAGACACCATTACGAGACTTAAACACTATTATGTACGTGTTCGACGATGGGTTTTTGAATATTGCGAAAGGTTTTCGGGGATTCGTTGAAAGAAGCGGGTCGAAAGGAAAGAGAAGGTGTACGATCAGTGTTCACCTGTTCTCTTTGCTCGATATTCGCACCTGCTGCAAGCAACAGCTCACAGATGTCTGTGTGGCCCATCTCGGCGGCGATGTGAATCGGCGATTGCAGCCTCTGCAACACGTCGCACGACATCGCGTTAGAATCGAACGAACGAATCGATCCCGTGATTGCTATACTCACCGAATTCAAGCAGTTCAGATCGACGCCTTTATTAATCAATATCTCGACTGTTTCTACTTCGTTGTTTTGACAGGCCAAGTGCAGAGGCGTGTTACCGTACTGAAAACCGATTCGCGAAGATTGATAGTTATTCGATTCCGACTACCATACGTCGCGATCGAACGCGTACCTTGCACTGCTTATTCAGCGCTGCACCGTGTTGAATCATCGAATTTAATATCCCTTTGCACCCCTGACTGGCGGCGACGTGAAGGGGGGTAAAACCCATCTAACATGTACAATTCGGACCATTTTAGCTACTTGTTGTCTAATGATTTAACGTTTCGAGAGTCATTTAAGGGGGGCTTCTCATGTAACCAGAAAATTAATTTCTTTTTTCATAAATTAAAAGTACAGTAGAGTTTCGATTATCTGGCATCCCTTACGGATGTAACATGTGTACCTGTTATGGATTATATTTCACACAAACAATGAAATCGCAGACGCGTGCATCCACCGGTGACGTAGAAACTAAAGCGACTACTAAAATAAAGTTGATGAATAAAGCGTAGGAATTTTATATATTTTATTTCTTATTGATAAATTGGATTATTACATTATCCATGGTTGTGTTTCTTAAAAATCAAAAACGAATTTTTAAGAAAAGTCGACAGGTAGTAAGTACTGAAATTTTTCGACGAAATTAAAAAATTTCAAATCGTTCTAAAAAAATTCTTTACGGTTGCAGGGATCAATTACAATAATTTTTAGTGAATAGACATACCTCCGAAATACTACCCACTTTCGAGAAAAAAATTCGAATAGGTAGTGGAATTTTTCGACGAAATTAAAAAATTCCAAATTGTTCTAATAAAAATTATTTGATGTTACAGGGATCAATTACAATCATTTTTGGTGAATAGACATACCTCTGAAATCCTACCCACTTCCGAGAAAAAAATTAGAATGGGTAGTAAAATTTTCGGAAAAAAAAAATATCAAATCGTTCTAAAAAAATTATTTTCAGTTGTAGGGGTCAATTAGAATCATTTTTGTTGAGTACACGTACCCCCGAATTCCTACGCGTTTTCGAGAAAAAAATTCCTTACCGAAAATATAATATGTCTGACCATACATTGATTCATTCCCCTGAAATTTAATGCGTATGTTTAAAATATCATAACTCCTGAGCGGATTGGACGATTTTAATGTTTCAAAAGGCAAACAACGCGTGTTTTGGCGTAGAATATGTAGAAATTCCAAAAATATTTGGTAAGTTGCTTCTTAACCACGTAAAATGAAAAAAAAAACCCCATAAAAATGGTCCAATATTCACAAAGCCATAACTCCTACAATAGTGAATATATTTTAATGAAACTGTTTTCTAAAGTAGAGCTCATTTGTACCTACAAAAAAGTATTAGACAATTTTTCCATAGGGTGTCAGACATAATTACTAAAAATAAAAAACGAATTTTTAAGAAAAATTGACAGTGCCTAAATTTTTCGACGAAAACAAAAAATGTCAAATCGTTCTGGAAAAATTATTTTCAGTTGCAGGGGTCAATTACAATCATTTTCGATCATTAGACATGCCCTCGAAATCCTACTCACTTTCTACAGAAAAATTGAAGAACGTGTGAAATTTTTCGACAAAATTAAAAAAGTTCAAATCGTTCCAGAAAAATTATTCTCGGTTACGTGGGCCAATTACAATAATTTTTGGTAAATAGGCCTATCCCCGAAATACTACCCACTTTCGAGAAAAAAATTCGAATATATAGTGAAATTTTTCGACGTACTTAAAAAATTTCAAATCGTTCTAGAAAAATTATTTTCTATTGTGGGGGTCAATTACTATCATTTTTTGTGAATATACATAACCCCGAAATTCTACGCACTTTTGAGAAAAAAATTCTTTCCAAAATCTTTTTAAGTCGAATTCGAAAAAATAACGAAGTCACAGCCCATTTAATAAATATAGCCCACAATAAAAAAAACCAAAGAAGGAAAATTATTTTTTGTACTTTATGAATATCTTCGTGTATCTTAAAAAGGGTAAGCCTACATCATTAATAGTTTTCTAGACAAAAATTGTGCAAAAGTCATGTGTTTATACAGCTGTTGCATGAGAAGCTCCCATTAACTTTCGAGTAAGGAAAGGTATGAATTACTTGATCGGTCAGCTCGGTGTTTGCCCCAGCCTTTAATAATAATTGAGCTATGGCCGTGTGCCTCGTTCTGGTGGCCACGTGAAGAGGGGTGTTTCCTTCGTTGTCCAGAGCGTCCAGGTTCGCTCCTAGTCCTATCAGGACCTCGACGGCTTCCAGATGTTCCTCCGCGCAAGCGCAGTGTATCGGTGTCTGTCCTTTCTAGGAATCGTCGCGAAATTTATCTAACGTTACTTCGGCGAAAGAAACGCGATTAAACAACATTCAAAATTCTTTACAGCAGAATCGTACGAAATTCGTGAACTTTGTAAACGGGTGGGGTTTCATAAAATTCCCTCAAAGGACTGCTGTCGGATTCGCGCAGCTGCATCCCGCGCCCTCTCCTTCGGGGATTTCGCTTGTCTTCGCGATAAGAAGGCAATATAGCTAATACCAGAGGTCTAGTTCCCCCCCGGTGCCTGAACCGGGAAGAACCAGCGTGAACCAGTTCCCGCATAAATTGAAGTTTCTTGCCTTTGCATCCGCCAGCGCGCGGATATTTGCATTTCCGTCCCAATTTCAAACGGATTAATATCTCAAAGTATAGCGAGCAAATCGTCCTCGAGCATTAGAATAAACTTGCGACCGCAATAATTCGGGGGAGTCATAAGTATTCCTAACGGGATGTTCGCGTAAAAAACGCGGGAGAAATGGGGCTATTCGAAATATTAATACAAAATTTTGCGTCGATATATTTCGAACTACCTTTCTACCAAAAGCATAAATGCGTGTTAATTAACAATGGCGATTGTATTCTGAGCTTGATTCACGTTTGGAAGTTATATTGTCCGGCTCAAACAATACCAGAAATTAGAATTCCAGAATTTATTGCGTTCATGGGTTCCAACACACGTTGGGCAATATGGAATGTGTATATACTATAAAGTTTGAATTGTGAAACATAATAAGGCAACTAATAATAAGAATAATGCAATGTTATGATTTTCTCCATTGCAGTTTCGCACCTAGGGTTTCGATCAACCGTTTCACCTTGCGCCATACAGTTTTAGGTAAGCTTAGATGCGTATAGATATATCGTGCAAGTTCGAACTACGTATTCATGCCGTGGGCGATGGCTACAGAGGCCTCGAGTATCTGCGTCACGGGTAAGTTGATCCTGGATTGTAGATGAATGCTTAGCGCAACGGAGCAGCTTCTACATGAATAAAGCGACGCTCTCCTGACTTCTCTGCTCGAGATGGAGAGGGATATAAAGTGGACCTCGAAATACGTGCATGCAATTTAGATAAATTTTCGCGGGACATCTCTTTTTCCCTCGGAAATTTTATATCCTTGAAACATCCTCGGTGCAACATCATCGGCTCTTTAAAACGCACAAGCAATCATTAAGAGGTTAATCCAGTCCATTTAACTATTACGTTGTTCGTTATTATTATTATTACAGAAAAATTGAGCCTCGAAATCGTCGCGTTAAACACTCACTCGACCGATATCGATTTTCTTCTAATTAAATTTCGTTTTTCGTTTTCATTTTTCGGAAATGTTAAGTATTGGCCGTTGTATAATAATCTGAAACGAAAAGCTTCCGCGATCGATTAACCTACTTCTTGCCTCCCCCCTGCCTACTCTCTTCTGAAATTCAACGAAAAATGTATTACAGGTATTAAACGAAGAATGTAATGGCTTCTGGAGTTTTAATATTCGCCGATACGTTGGAGTCTTAAAAGTTTTTGTACAGAATTTCGAAGAACGTGCCGCGTTGGTTAAATAAAATGTTTTAGCCGATGCGTTTGTCCCTTTGTCCCGAATAACTCGTCGATTACGATGGCTGGTGGGTTTTACCTTGTCGGTGGCATTTAGCTCGAGCCGAGGTATGCTGGAGAGCGCCGTTATCACAGTAGGGTGACCGGCACTAGCCGCGTGATGGAGTGCAGTTGCACCGGTGCAATCGGTTGCATCGCCGTTCAACGATTCCACGGCCTCCGCGAGGTACTCGACTACCCCGACGTTGCTGCCCCAGGCGGCACACATTAAAAGAGTGTATTGTTTCTGCGACAAAGGAACACTGATATTACTTCTGTTGCGGCTCAAACGAGCAGCGTTGCATTCGTGCTCCACGTAACGCGATTAACGCACGAAAAGTTATACAAACATCCCTTATCTCGCTAATGTCGGTGTAATTGGGTCGAAAGTCCTCGCGTTTTATTCGTCGAAAAGCTACGAGGGTCGTTCAATAAGTCCTTGGAAAAAGGCAGAAAAACAAATTAGTTTAGGTAGATTTTTTTTTTATTTTTAAACATAATCTCCTTTTAGCTTTGTACACTTTTCCAAACGTTCCTCCAACTTTTTTAAGTCATTTGAAAAGTAAGATTTCGAAAGGTCCTCAAAATAGGCATCTGTTTGGGTGGTGACCTCCTCGTTCGACGTGAACCGTTGTCCGCTGAGCCATTTTTTTAAATTTAGAAATAAAAAGAAGTCACTGGGGGCCAAATTTAGTGAATACGGTGGATGTTGCAATAATTCGAACTTTAATTCCATGATTTTGCACCCGTGTAGTGTTTTAGTGGAAGAGGATCTTTTTCTTTTTCAAATGGGGACGTTTGTTTTTTATTTCTTCGCTCAATCGGTGCAATAACGACTCATAATACTCTCCAGTTATTGTTTTTCCTTTTTTCAAGTAATCGGTGTCGATGATTCCGCATGCATCCCAAAAAACTGTGGCCATCGCCTTGCCGGCCGATTTCATCGCTTTTGCCTTAAAAAACCCACTGTTTTGTCTGTTCTTTTGTCTCTGGAGTGTAGTGGTGTATCCACGTTTCATCCACAGTTATTTATCGACGTAGAAACTCGTCAAAAAAGCGTCAAAACAGCCTTAGAGTCGACCACACGATTGGGTTTATTCTCCACTGAAAGCAAACGCGTCCATCTTGCCGAGATTTTTTTCATACCCAATTTTTCGTGCAAAATTGAAAACACTGTACCTTGCGATATGCCTGTGGTCTCAACTATTTCGTGCACTTTGATTCGTTGAACATTCAAAACCGTATCTTGGATTTTGTTGATCATTTCGGGAATAGTCATTTTCACTGGACGTCCCGAACGACGTTCATCATTTGTGGATGTACGACCACGTTTAAACTCATTTACCCAATTGTAAATATTTGCAAACACAGGAGCAGATGTGCCATGAACTTCATCCAACTCAGCTTTGATCTATTTCGGCGTTAAGCCTTTTAAATGCAATTAATCACCGCTCGAAACTCACTTTCTTCCATTTTTCTAAATATGCAAAAGTTTCTTGCTTCAATGCACAATAAAAATGAAATCGTGTGGTGGATATAACTGAGAATTAGACAGCTGTCTTAGTGAGTCATGATGCTTACTAAAAACAAAAGTTTTCGATGCTACGAGCACCAGCTCTTGGATGTTCCAAGGACTTATTGAACGACCCTCGTATATTAAAACGATTTTTCCAGTGATACGAACGACAGTCGGGGAAACGTAGCTTGGACGATCACAAATTTCTCAAGTTAATTTCTAAAGTTCTTCCACGGCAATTAAACTGAACGTGGAGTTGAGAGTTATTATCAACGAAGAGAATCCCGTCCCTATCGACGATATGCGGGTGTTTTCATCGAAGGCATTTGTTTACTCGATTTAATAGCAGATTGCAAACATGGGAATTAATTGTTTGGTCGGATCGTAGAAGTACGGAACGAATTGTTTGATTATATCTCGCATAAGCAGGACAAACTAAGAATAACGGTTATTTTCGTACAAAACGCGAAGGCTTTTCAATCAATCCAATACTTTGGAAAAGATGGGTGTCGAATTTTTTGTGGATGATTTCGTAGATCGTTCTCGAGGGGCTCAGCAAGAAGATTGGAAATTTTGTCGATCCGTACGTCCCCGACGATGGAAACTTTTTTCTCGGACGAGAGCACGTTTGAGGTTCATTTTTATCGCGGGACGGAATCTCAGGATGGATCGTGACCCGATTCTCTGATTCCTAGCGTTTGTCCTGCATCGAGTGCGATTCCTCTTGCTTCCCCGCTCGCCAAACGGATCGAAAAGAGTCCCGCGGACGTCGAGAGTATCAAATTAATTCGATTTAAACGATTAGTCCCGGTAATCCCGCGTTACACGACGTCCGAAACTAATGAATATTTATTTATGTAATTACGAGAATACCTTGTTGACGGCAGACACATTTGCTCCGGCGTTGATTAACATCTTCACGGCGTCTCTGTGCCCATACCAAGCAGCCATGTGCAACGGCCGCATGCCAAACTTCAAATATTACACAGAGAATTTAATTATCCCTCGTCAAAATTCGCGCCGAGTTCGTAAACGTTCCGGCTACGGTTTCGCTGGTATTCTTGGAAACCAAATACAATTTATCATAAATGAAGCGTTACCTCCTCGTTCTGCTGTGATTTTTTTCTGTTTCAAACGTCGAACAGGGCATTTCTTTTACCAAAACTGCATTGTTTACTAAGAAGGAATACTTTATTTCGATAGGTTTAGATTAAATAATTGTTATTTTTAACGACACCGTAGGAAGTTGAATAAATCGCAAAAAAGGTAACAGTTACTAGCTGGGTACGTCTTGGCTCGGAAAAGTATGTCATAAGGGTCACGAAAATGTAAGTTAAAAATAATACTGAAAGACTGGTTTGTCCTGAAGAGGTCAAACAAGAGTTAGCAGAAAAGTCGTATGAAAAAGCGGGGGATGAAGAAAAGAGTAGAGGAAAGAAAGGAGAAAAGAGCTTTTCAAAGTAAAACGAGTGGGCCTTGTCAGAAGGTGGCCGAGTTATCTCGAGTGTCCCAAAAAGACGAAGAACAACTGCCAAGCCTGTGGGAACCTTCTGGTACTCCAAGGGTAACTGTCGAAGAGTGGTCCAAAGTACCATCTCTCATCGGTGGCAGACAATTTTTCGGATCCTGGATCGATTCGTTCTCGTTTATTTTTGCCCCTTTCATTCTTTCGCTGAATAGAGTTGTCGAATGCTTTGTGTTTATGATTTACTTGTACCGTTGTTGGCCAAACGGTTATTCAGGCTCGTTGAAAGTTAAACAGGCAAAAATAACGTTTATAAATTACGTATCGATGGTTCGAGTTTAAAAAATTCACCGAACAGCTTCATCGTAGCCTACGAACGTTTCGATAACAATTTATGAACGTGACGGTGGATTGGGTTTCCCTTGTCCACGATCTTCCGTTCGAACGGTTTTGTTACAAATTTATCGACGAAACGTTACCTTGTCCCTCGCCTCGATGTCGCATTTCGCTTGCATCAGCATTTCGATGATCTCCGTATTTCCTCTTGATGCTGCCCAATGGATCGGCGCTCGGCCATACTAAACAGCCAGTTTCAGTTATGCGAGCGATTCGCGTTGCATTTAATGAGAAACCGCTATTGGAATATTTGCGACAATGTGCACGGGCTTCCACCGCGCGTTTTCATTCATGCTCGACGCTTTTACGCCGCAAATAATCTCACTCGATACAGAGTGTTCGAACAATCGTGCAAAGCAAATCGAAAATGACCAGTTTTGAAAGCATATAAATTTCTGTAATACGATTTAATATATTTAGTTAATTCTTGCGCGAAGTGTAGCCATTTTCTTGGTTGGACTACGTTCGTTGAGGAGCCCTGTACCGTGCTGGGTAAATTTAATGGGCCGTCGTGTACGGAGCCCGAGACACCTTCATTAGCGTGCTTTCACGAGAAAGAATCGGCGACATTTTAACAGTCGCTATAAAACTCGAAGTGAAATATTCCGTCTTTAGTCGGACGTACAACCGGAGTTAAAGAAGAATTACGTTTCGAAGTACGAAAAAACTTCGAGACACTGTGGGAAAGTGGAGGAATTTTTTTCTTTCGCAGCGTGAAAGCGTTTCGCAATGGGCGAGGCGATTAGGTTTGGAAAACGCCGGTGCAAATGGACCTTTAATAGTCGCGACGGAACACTAGCGATACGTCCCGTGTTCAGTCAGACAGACGTCGCACTATATTCGTGGCACGCCACTGCTTCAACCGCGTCACGTTATCTCGCGCTCCGGAGCGTGTAACGCGTTTTGCATGACGTTAACGTTAACGAAGTGGCACCAACTGAAAGATTCTATTTTCAACCAGACCGTTTTCCACCCTTGCAGCGGCCAACCCGATTTTCAAAGCGAAAAGTTCCATCGAGATTTCGAGCTGCGGCTTGCACTCTGCGCGTCGCTACGATTACGCTAGTCCGTCGACTATCCGATATAATGGGGGGAACAGATTCGTTCCCGTAATCGATTTTCGGATAATCGGTCTAGGAAATCGAAATTGCCATTATAAAGTAAATTTTGAAGATTGCGGACATGATCGAGAAGGGGGTGATTCTACGTGGAAAAACAAATTGAAAATAGATGATAACATTTTTTGGTAATTATTTACTTTAGCGATTTCTTATTAATTTCGATGACCTTGAAATATGTTGAAAAGGTCGCTGTTATGAAGATTTTTTCTTCAAAAAGATCGCTGTTACTGATATGAATTCTGTTTATTTATACGTACGTGACTGTAGCAGCGTGTGTGTAAATATTGAAACGCCGATTGTTTATTGTTTCTAAAGATATATCGAGGCGGCCGGCAATGGATGCGTATAACAGATGTGCTTAACACTAGATTTACGGGCATTGATCGCACATATATTTATTGATACCTTTCATGTTGACGATTAACTTAAAATACGATTTTTCTTTTAATTAGAATATGTATTCATGCCATTGCATCAATCAAATTCAACGTAAGTTGTTAAAAAATAATATTTACGCGTTCTGCAATTTTTAAATCTAGTGTTAAAAACTCGATGTGAGTAGACGGCCGCCTAGCGGCGGCTGGCGTAATCAAATTTTACCCAAACTCTTCTACCTAATAATTAATATAATGAAGGTTTAGAAATAGGTTTAGGTTAGATTTTCTTATACCGGCCACGAATTCATCTTCTATTTCAATTTTCTTTATTAATATTATCCGATATTAGCTTGATTACAGTATACATTATTTGTCGTTGGTCGTCATGATTTTAATACAAGAATACCTGAATTTTTTTATATAACGGCAGACATTTTTCCAATTTCTGTTAATAATAATGATAATAATAATAATAATAATAATAATAATAAAGAATAAAGTTTAATATTTTATCTCCAACTCAACCCAAGGCTAATTCACACATAAAATTATTTTTTTTTTATTTTAACATGTATAAAGAAAAAATCTTCACAACAGTGACCTTGACAACATATTTCAAGGTCATCGAAATTGGCGTGGAATCGCTAAAGTAAATAATTACCCATTTTTTCATTTGAGGCTCTGTTCTCGAGAAAATAGACTTGGAAAATTCAATCGGTACATGTGGACAAGTAGAAAGAGCTAGCATTGGTCGGACACGCGAAATCGTATTCATTTGCACGCGTAAGTTTGCAAATTATCTCGACAACGAAGCCTCGAGTTAAAAAATTCCTCCAAATGATTACGAAAATTCAATCGGTACGCGTGAACAAGTAGAAAGAGCCAGCATTGGTCAGACAAACGAAATCGTATTCATTTGCACGCGTAAGTTTGCAAATTATTTGGACAACGAAGCTTCGAGTTAAAAAATTCATCCAAATGACTACGAAAATTCAATCGGTACGCGTGGACAAGTAGAAAGAGCCAGCATTGGTCGGGCACGCGAAATCGTATTCATTTGCACGCGTAAGTTTGCAAATTATTTGGACAACGAAGCTTCGAGTTAAAAAATTCATCCAAATGACTACGAAAATTCAATCGGTACGCGTGGACAAGTAGAAAGAGCTAGCATTGGTCGAACACGCGAAATCGTATTCATTTGCACGCGTAAGTTTGCAAATTGTCTCGACAACGAAGCTTCGAGTTAAAAAATTCCTCCAAATGACTACGAATGGTTTATCGGGTTCGAACGATTGGATACTTACGTTGTTCCTGGAATCGACGTCGACGGTCTCTTTGAGCACTTTGCGAACGGTCTCCGCTTCATTTTTTATCACAGCCTCGTGTAGCAAAAGGTCGTTCTTAAGTACTGGCAAGAAGAAAAGCTTCGATGAAGCTCGTCCTGACGAGCACGACGCAAAAAAAATTGTAATTCTGACTACGGAATAATCTGGTTCTATTTCGAGAATCTTCCTTTCCCTCGGCGGGACGATATCAAAAAGGATAGAGAGCAGACGGTACGAGTTTTTCGGAAAACTCGCCCGTGCCATCGGTATACCTACATCTGCATATATTTCTTCCACCTTTTTCGTATTTCTTTTGCGCTCTTGCATCGTGACGGACACCTTTTCCGGACCAACTACTTCCGGTGTAATTTTTCGTTTCGCGTTTTACCGAACCTCTCTTTGACGTCTGCGCGATTAGAAATCGGAAAATAGAAACGAATGTCTCTTACGATTTACTCTAATGACAAATTCTGTCCTTTCGAACCAGCCACTTTGACGTATTCTAACGATTTTGTAATTGAAAATACATCTTAAATATTAAATTCACACGTTTAACCCTTTGCACTCGTATTTACATTTGAGAAGGCTACCAATCAACTTCTTTTTCATATTCGATCAAAATGAAAATATTTTTATGGGAACATATTACAATTTAACTTGTCAAAATACACAAATTTAATCAGCATTTCACCCCTTCTTGAACAGTGATCTCAGGAACAAAACCAATTAGCCAAAACACAGGAGGAAAAATCTTTTATCTTTTATTTATTTATTTTATTTTCTATACACACACACACATTTAAGCAGAAACTAAAAGAAAATATTGATACAAGGGTCCCTAGAATGAAAATGTAAATATATGTATAGTAATACAATGTAAGATGGTGACTATATGGCAACATATAAACGTAAAACGTGTAATGTCGCCAGTACAGCGACATACGAGTGGAAAGGGTTAATATTAGTTCTATTTGTTACCTATTATGTTTATCTCTGTCAAGACAATGTATTGGTAGCTTGGATAGGTTTTGAGATCGTTGTTACTTACTTCTAGCAGTCTTTTGATTCAACACTTCTCCCTCGATCGCCTCGTTGATGTTCACGGGCGAGGGCGTTTTGGTTATTTCCTCTTTGTCCACCATCTTACTCCTCACGTTCCCCTTGTCCGCATGTTTAGTTAGCCCGTGTAATTATTAGACCTGAAAATCGAAACATCGAACGAACATGTAGCTCGCGGTCGGTTAACTTCGAGCGTGTCGCGTTCAGCCACGATGTTGACCCGAAAACGTGGACGATTTCGTGAAACTTTTCAAGCGGTTCGAACAATTGTACGAAACGAAACGCAATTAAAATTCTATTTCCCGACGATTACATCGGGGCCCCCTCGTTACGAAATTATATAAAAGTCGCGAGAGCACGTTCGTACGTTCACGAACGCCACAATGACAGAAACGATCGACCCGCGAAAGAGCGCTTTTGACATTTCGAGAACGTGTTTCGGGATTTGAAATAATTGTCGAAGGAAATTTTTCAGCCCCCCGTCGAGTACCGAGTTGCGTTATTCCGCCGCGGCTGTGATTCGTCGGGAAAGGATTCGCGTACAATCAACAATGCCACAGAGTTTCCGTTCGAACGTGGAAACCAGGACATGCCCGTAAGGCTCCTCGCGACATATAAATGAAATAATTATACGCATACCTACGATCTCTCTCGTACACGTTGCTCGACACGCAAACCTTCTATTTAGCAATTTGCGTCGATGGGCTCCCTAGTAACGATATTACATCCCGAATCGGTCGTTCAATTTGTAAATTGCTACGAGATTGTTATGCCCGTAACAGATGTTGTGCGGAACGGTTAATTTCAGAGATTAGAGCAAGAATCGCTTGTATTTAAGTTACACCGAGCAGGAATTAGGCGAGTGACGCGGAATAGGACGTCTGGCCGGTAATCCCGAGGCCGCTGGTTTCGAATCCCAGCGTTTCTTTCTCTACGACAAGCTCCATTTCGTAATTGATTTCTACGTTTCAGGAGAGACTACTGCCACTATGCGACAGAAAGAAAGCTGAGATCGTACAGAATCCAGGAGAAACGTCTCCCTGTGTGATTAGGTAATCGAAATTTATCTCTATTACAATTTACTAATTTTTCGTTGTATTAATTGTATTATAATTTGACGAGTATTGATCAAAATTATTAACCCCTTGCCATACAATGACGAGTCTGACTCGTTACAATTTCCTGATCTCAAGTTTAGACAATCATGAGACTACTCACAGAGTCATCGAGTTTTATACAGGATGTTTAGCTATCTCTAGGAAAAATTTTAATGGAAGATTCTAGAGGCCAAAATAAGACGAAAATCGAGAATACTAATTTGTTGATTGAGGCTTCGTTAAAAAGTTATTAACGTTTAAAGTTCCATACCCATTGGTCAATTTTTTGGCGAAATTAAACAATTTCAAATCATTCTAGAAAAATTATTTTCAGTTGCAAAGGAACAATTGGAATCATTTTTGGTGAATAGACATACCCCCGAAATACTATCTACTTTCGAGGAAAAAATTCGAATAAGTAGTGAAATTTTTCAGCAAAATTGAAAACTTTCAAATCGTTCTAAAAAAATTATTTGCAGTTGCAGGGCTAAATTACAATCATTTTTGGTGAATAGACATACCCCCGAAATACTATCCACTTCCAAGAAAAAAATTCGAATATGTAGTGAAATTTTTTGGCAAAATTAAAAAATTTCAAATCGTTCTAGAAAAATTATGTTCAGTTGCAGGGGTCAATTACAATCATTTTTGGTGAGTAGACATACCCCCGAATTTCTACGCGTTTTCGAGAAAAAAATTCCTTACTGAAAATATGATAGGTCTGACCATACGTTGATTGATTCCCCTGAAATTTAATTCGTATGTTTAAAACATCATAACTCCTGAACGGATTGGACGATTTTAATGTTTCAAAAGGCAAACAACGCGTATTTTGGCGTAGAATATGTAGAAATTCCAAAAATATTTGAAAAGTTGCTCCTTAATCACGTAAAGTGAGAAAAACCCCATATGATTGGTCCATTTTTTAAACAGCCATAACTCCTACAATAGTGACTATATTTGAATGAAACTTTTTTCTGAAGTAGAGTTCATTTGTACCTACAAAAAAGTATTAGACAATTTTTCCATAGGGCTTCAGACATAATTACTAAAAATAAAAAATGAATTTTTTAGATAAATCGACAGAGGCTAAATTTTTCGGCGAAAAAAAAAATTCAAATCGTTCTAGAAAAATTATTTTCAGTTGCAGAGGTTAATTGCAATCATTTTTGGTGAATAGACATACCTCCGAAATTCTATCCACGTTCAAGAAAAAAATTCGAATAGGTAGTGAAATTTTCCGACGTAATTAAAAAATTTCAAATCATTCTAGAAAAATTATTTTTAGTTGCAGGGGCCAATTGCAATCATTTTTGGTGAGTAGACATACCCCCGAAATCCTACCCACTCTTGAGAAAAGAATTCATGTAGATGGACAAAATTTTATGAATAATTTTTGACAATAATTTTGTTAATAACTTTTTAACGAAGCCTCAATCAACAAATTGGTATTCTTGATTTTCGACTTATTTTGACCTTTAGAATCTCTTATTAAAATTTTTTCCAGCGGTTGCCAAACACCCTGTATATTAAAATCAGCACATTATTAGATTCACGAGGTATTCGTAAAACAAATCTATTCTTTTTCTTCACGATTTCTTTTACAAAGAAATTTAAATAAAATAGAATACTATACCTTTGAAAAATTACATTACATTGTACGTCAAGGGGTTGATATTATTCTATCTCAGGGGATGCTCGATTCAGGCTTCGGGGATATTGTTTAAACAAGTTTGCTGACGTTTCTCCACACAGCCAACGGTATCAGCTAGCCCCGGAGCGTTTCTGGAGTTTGTAATGTAAAATCCGCGCTTCGTTTTTGCGCTACGAGCGTCGAAAGACAGAACTTCTGTCGTGGAGGTATCGTCTGTCGGGACGTCAAAGGGGAACGGGCCCTTTGAAAATGTATAAACACGAAACATTTCCGCCGGCTGAACGCAGATGTTGTTCGCGTTCCGTTCTCAAAGGGAAGATATCGGATTATTTTCAAAGAGGCCGATAGCAGAAGGAATACGCCGAACGAAAGGACAACGCGTACGAAACTTCGGTTTCCTTTTCGTCGATGAATCTTTTGTCGCCGGGCAAAAATTCCTCGCTCGTCGTTCGAACGAATAACGAAGGAAATGTTTAAACAGCGACGGGATTCAGCGAAACGGTTCCCGCTGGAAAGCGGGAGAAACTGCTCGACGAGCACGGTCCGGCGAGGCAAAAAATATCCTCGACCAATTCCCTCCGAATTGTCGTCGGTAGAAAAGTTTTAATAAGCACCTTTTTTCCACGTCCCCGCCCCCTGCTCCCAACATTTTTACAATTCAATTTAATTACGGAAGCGACTATTTACAATTTCACGGCGGAGGAATTCGTCGCGCGGGGGGGTTGCGCAGGTGGGTTGCAGGAAAAATTCGCGGGTACGCGAGGAGTTTGATTGCTCCGAAATGAACGCTCATTATCGTTCACCTGAACTTTGTCCTTTATTCCCGCGGCGAGTCGTCGAAAACGACCGAATTGCAATCCATTTTGAAAACTTTGCCGTTTGCACGACTTCCGATCGAGCAAACGTGTCGTTCAAAGCCACCTACTTTTTGTAAAATGTAATATACAACGATGTGGTTTAAATCTTGAGAGCATCGATATTCTCCTGTTAATGAATTTAATCGTCGAGGTCAAACGTTCTCGAGAAGGCAGAGATTTAACGACGTCCTGCGTTGCAATTCCCAAAACCGATACGTTCGCTTCGAGCTACAGTCGGATCAATCGGATTCTGGTAAACGTTGGTCGTGACATCGTTCTCGTTGTAACCATAGGTCACATTTACAGAAGACATAGTCGAAATTCGGTATCGCTACAACGCTATACAATCCGCGATATCGATCGTTACATGCACTGAAAATTGTACACAATGTTTGAGAATCTAAGTGGAACGTTCATTGTTGGGTCGGACAAAGACTCGAGCCCGGACAAATTTTTAACATTGTCAACCTACGTTCTCTAAACGGCGCTGAATAACGTGGCTGAACTTTCGTGCCGTGTAAATTAATAAAATACGAATTTTTAAATAATATCAGGAACCAGAGAAATTGGGAGAATCCACGCGACGTTGTTGTCGCGTAACACGAGCGACGAGTGTACTTAAACAACCGTACTCGTGTGATCGATTTCACCAAGCGTGAATATTCTTATACGACGAATGTCAGAGGAAAGAAGGGAGGCCGCGCTGGCTTCGATTGACCTACAAATAACTAAAATGGAACGCTGGGAACATTTCGTATCGACAGGTCAATCTGCTAAATTGACGCATTTTTTGTACCCGGATTGTTCACGATTCCAGGAACGATGTTAAGATAATCTGTGCCTGCATTCTAGGGATGAAGTATGCACGCCCGTTTGGAATTTAATTTCGCGTAGAAACGAAACGATGATCAAATTTCAATGATACTAGATTGAATAAGTGGATGTTTCGTAGACCACTTCCTCTTTTCTCATCGGTATTTCCGAATAGGCAATGAACTCCATGCTTCTTCAACAGTGTTTAGGTTCTTAGTTCCTGTACATTCTTTAGTGTAAATAACATTCCATGAACGCGTTACTACAATTCCTGTGCTCCGTCTGACCAGTTGTATCGTTTTCTACTTGGCGAATACCCAGACTCCTGTATTTCCTGATATTCCTGAAATTAATTTGTGGATTGAAGAAGTGGATGTTTTATAAGGTAGTTTCTTCTTCCTTATCGGTGTTTTAGTTTACGTTCTTCGTTATTGTACGTTTATTAGTGTAAATAATATTTTACGGATGCCTTACTATAATTTCTGAGCTCTGTCTGACCAGGTGTATGGTTTTCTACTTGACGAATTTCTAGACTCCTGTATTTCCTGATATTCCTGAAATTAATTTGTAGATTGAAAAAGTAGATGTTTTATAAGGCACTTTCTCCATTCTTATCTGTGTTTTAGAGTAGGCAATGAACTCTGTAGTTCTTCAACAATATTTACGTGCTTCGTTATTGTACGTTTATTAGTGTAAATAATATTTCATGTACACGATAC